TATATATATATATACCACCTCACTGAGCCCCTTGTACATCCAATGTACATTCCATATTACTGAGTCATCTTTAATATTATATCCCATCTCAGTGATTCACGTATTCCCCGAGTATCTCAACTTCGCCATCATCATTGCCTTTCTCACCCTAGATAAGGGTCTAGGTCACGAACAAATACTCTCCACCTTTCCATTTCCTGGGCTAGCCTCTTCTTGATGTTATTCTGTCTTCCCACTTTTTATCCCATTTTTAAATCCCAAACCACAGACTCAGATATCTCATGTATATCCCATTTCACTGGCATGCATTATATCCCATTTCATTTCATTGAATGGATGGTTGTCGGGCGCCCTGATGTCGTTTGCTCCTCCTTTTCTGTCCAACATCTACCTTCCTTGTCTCTCCATCTTCTGCTGCTCTTTGTATGTTACTCTTTATGAACACCTCAAATTTTCGATGCTTATATTATCATGACCAATACATTGCATTGCAAGTGCCGTTCAACTTCGTGAGTGGTTGGCAGGTGCTCTGATGTGGTTTGCTTCTTCTTACCTATCAAACGTCTGTCGTCTTTGTCTCCCCATCTTCTTTTTTTTGTGTTTGTTACTCTCTTGTAGCACCTCTAATCCTCGGCACTTGTATGACCTTATTGTGTTGCAAGTGCCGTAAAACACTTACTAAAACTAAACTAACTAGCCGTTCAACTTTTACTTAAACTAAACCCCAAAAAAACCTCACTGACTCAGGCATTTCCAGTATTGTCCTTCCCACTTTTTTTTCTGTATCCCCGGCGCGCTCATATGGCCTTAGCAGTTGCGAGCGCCGTAAAACCCTATACTACTACTACTACTACTGTATCCCCAGTTATGTGATTTTTTTCTGTATCCCCAGTTATGTGACTTGCATGTGTACAAAGTGCCGACGCAGCTATGGCGAGAATCGCTCAACAACATCCTCAACAATGTCGTCACAGAGACGGTGTCTGTCGGCATTATCAGGTAAGAGGCCAACTGCTGCACCTGTCTGTCTTACCCTCTTTGTCTGTCTGTCTGTTTATTTGTGTGTTTGTTTGTTTGTCTGTCTGTCTGTTTGTCTGTCTTTTAGTCTGTTTCACTCTCTGCCCCCCCCTCCTCCATGTCTGTCTGTCTGTCTGTCTGTCTCTCTCTCACTCTCTCTCTCTCTCTCT